TTGTAAGGAAAGACTTTCCGAACTATTCTCAAAAAAGTCCAGAGAGTAAGAGATCTTGGTTGAGTTACCATATTGATAAACCCCTCCAATTTTTCTAGCTTAGTCAAGATTCTCCAAGGAGCTCTGAACATCAAGAATTCTATAAAGCACCTTCCTGGCGGTGATCCTCAATAACACTGCGAAAGCGTAGGTTTGATGCACAATGATGGATTTTATCGTCCAGAGCTTAGCTCTCGAAGGTTTTTCGCTGATTCGGGTAATTAGAAAGAACTAGAGGATTGGTAAGCCACACTCAAAACTGTAGTCGTTAAACTGAGCTGAAATTCTTTTATGGGGTGTCCCGAAATTACGGGCGTCAATTTAAGACAATGTATTCAAAAAAGTTCAAAGTTTTTTTCGGACACTTCGCATGTAGCGGCTCTCTAGAACTCCAAACTGGGAAAGCAAAACCAACAGGCCCTATTCTAATCAGGGACCGTACGAAGGAGTCAAGTGAGTTAAGATCCGGAAAGCAAGTGGCTATTCTTTTTCGCTAAGGAAGTCGGGCAGCTAGCGTCTGCACCTCTCCGAGAAGAGGTTTGCTCTATGGGCTGGAGAATCGTCCTGTTAGACGGACTACGAGCTGTTTCAGTGAGCGGAACTGGATCGTGCTCTATTGAGTCCATCAGTAAGCTTTAAGTAAGGTCTTTGTCAATTTTCGCGCTGGCACCGACGAAAATAACAGCATCTTACCAGTAGTCGTAAGTCTCTCGACAAACACCATTTTGCTATTCTTATAGCNACTTTTAGTGAGAGATTGCACGATCGGAATCGATGTTTCTATTCGAAAAGCGATCGCTTTATTTGTAAATGGCTTGTATTGGCTCTGACGTGAAAAATTTCTTTAGCCAGGGAAAACGATGAAAGGCTACGTGCCTCCACTCGAGTGAGTTAACAACTTTCTGCATTCTTTAGCCCTACGCTGTCTGTTGAAATTGGAAATGGAGCGACATCTGCATTTTGCGACAGGAACAGCGAGGAAGGTTCTGCTCGGCAACCTGCCCTATCGAGAACTTCGACAAGACAGCTACTATGCCATCGTTTTCGGGTCATTGAGGATCACGATCGACCCGTAAACGACCATTTTAATAGTTCTATCGTTGACTGAATCTTCTACTCTGTACAATTTAATAGCCTTCCGTACGTATGTACCTAGATTATAGGCACCACAAAGGATTTCAGAATGCCCTTCCGCCTCTCGCATGCAAATAATCACAAGCCCTAATAATTGAATGAGCTACTGAATCCGAAAGATATTGGAAAGTTCACTCTACTTGTGCAACTAATTAATAGCTATTGAATTGAGTTTTGAGAATAATTTGTACTTCGAAGGTTCCTAAATTTTGGCGCCAATAATTTTGGGATGCCCTGCAGCAGTATCAACTGTCGTTGCCCTGTTCACCGATTCCCTCGAACGACGTCGTAAGTAACGTCCCCATTCGTTCCGTCGCGAGCCAAGGAAGTCCAGTCGTCACCTGAGGGGCACGAGGCTTCTAGAATAATTTTCCTTCAGTGCTTTTATGAGAAGGTGTGATCATTTCGCTGGCAGTCGTCCTGGTATTCGTTTCATGTCCGGCGAGGTACAGTCACTAAAGACCCTGGTCCAACGGTCAACACATTATCACAAATTTTTGGCCAACCTTATATTTTGTTGATATTTATCTTAAGTCCAAGCATCGTCCTTTCTACAGCCACAGACGTTGAATGACTCTAACTGAATGCTCATCCGTCACCCTACTTCCTTAGAGGCCGAATCTGTGGGGCGTAGGTTAAAACGAAGCTTTTTTGCCCTCCCTATTGCTCATCTGTGTGATGAAATCACTCGCATCATTGTTTCATGAATTTTTAGCTCTCAATCAGGTTTCTCGGTGTCCTAGATCTTTGTGACTAGTGTTCAGTGGTGAGCTGAATACTTGTCACGCTGATTTCTGAAAAAATTGTCGTCATCACGTCAGGAAAATAGTGAGAAAATTCCTGTTTTGACGTTGTTCGTATTCTTTGGGACGTCATTTTCGTTCGTATGTTTTTACGAGTCCTACTTCTAATGGGAAATTTTGGAAAGTTGAAATCAGCGGAGCATGTTAAAAATGAGCAAGCGTAAGAGAATGATAGACTCACCAAAATAAGGTGATGATGGCTCATTCCGCCGTCTACTTGAATATAAGCGTGCCGATTCTCATGACTTTCGACTTACTGACGCTTACGTGTGGGCCGATCATGCGCATAAAGAAACTATTGATGATGTATTGTAACTCGTGTTATCTCTAGCAATAAGGGCAATGTAATCTATAAAATCTAAATCTTCGAGCCTTCCATGATCAAACCAACTGTTGGTTGCCATTATTTGTTGCATTGTTTTCCTCCGGAAAAAAGCAAGATAGATGTACAACACCGTAGGTGAAAAGATACATCTTCGCCGCATCCCATAACATATAATCTGCGTCTGTTTCTACACAGCAGTATAAGTTGAGAAAAGATTCTCAAGAGAAAAACTTGCAAAATGTCTCAGTGCGCCAAACATCCTGAGTTCTCACAAAGATCCATGTCGGACTCTATCGGATGCTTCAAAGGCTCAATTCATGAAAAAAATGGTTCCTGAGTTCTCTCTCTAGGAATACCCAATGACCTCCAAGGGTAACACTAAGGACCCTGTCGAATCTCAACATTCGATTTGATTTATTACACGACTGATTTGTGTGAAAATGAACAACGGGGAACAAGCAAAAGCAACTCAAAACAATAAAAATCGACCGAAGAACTAACTTATGCGTAGTTACTACACCAAAAAAAAACAAGAGGTAAAAAAAAGCTATAATATAACGAAGAAGTGAAGTACAAGAGTAAAACGAAATGTGGAAAAAAAAAACAATAGTGGAGACAAAGGAGCAATTAATACCAGCGTTGGGTCATGAGCTTTTTGAAGTGTGCGTAATAGACTTTTTGAAGTGATATAGGCACTGGGCTTCGCCTGATAATTTTGTTAAATTCGATACCACCACGGTGGCAGAAGAACTGGCTTCTATACCTAGAATTAGGTCTAGGTATAAAAACCTTAGTGTTGCCCCATGAGTACGTGAATCAGCAGTAGCGAAGAGCCTAAGCCTATCTACAGAGACCACACCGCAGAGGATCTTGTAGAGCAAGAGTACATCAAATCGCCTCCTTCTACTTTCAAGGGTTTGCAGACCTAGAATTTGGTTCCTCATAGAGCTTTGGGGAACTTTCGTATAGTCATATCCATGGACCCTTCCATCAACTTCCTAGTGAAGTCATTTTGAACCTTCTCTAAAACCCTAGTGAGTTTTTTCCTGGGGATAGTATATCACTGTCCCATATTCCAATAGTGAACGCATGTATGTCTTGAATGCTCTTATAAGGAGTTGGGAGTCTTTACAAACTAGCCTTGCTCACAATCATATTTATGTGTTCATCGAAACTAAGATTACGGCATATGACGCAGCCAAGATCAGTGACTTTGTCCACAGTTTGCAAAACATTGTCATCAATGTGGTAAGAGCAGAGGCTCGTCTGCAAACGAAATAAAATCAAAACCTTCGATATGTCAACAGACAACGGAAGCTCCCACGTTTTGGACCACTTCTTAAGAAAATCAGTAGTTTTCTGAAGATTGTAGAGTCAATGTCACTTTCGATAATCTTGTAAATTTTCAAATCGTCGGCAAAAACTTTACAGTCAACTCCTAAGAATCAACAGTTTTTGGGCCTAGTGGGGCCCCATTACCGGATCACCCATCCCTTAGATGGATGCCACGTCGGACGAGTGTCGAGGCGGTACAGAATGCAATATTGGCTCGAGAACCCACACAAAAAAATCAGTAATGAGNTTTTTTTTTGCAATTACTTCATTCTCTCCTATCCCTTTTGCTGCTAAGGTCCTTTATTTGACTTTATACCGTAAGAGGCTAAAAAATGTGGACTAATTTTGTTGTTATTGGGGTTTTTGTCAACTTGTGCTTATGAGTGAATGAATTTTCGCTTACCGTAGTCAGCTATTCGCACCAGAACCCAGGTACGCAGTGACACACATTGTATAGCTCGTCCAAACGCTCCATTCTTTTTGATTTTTTGGCCTCATTCTCGTTATCCCCCTTCTTAACGGTTTTTAGAGCCTTTTTTCACTTCGGAAACACCGATTCACGCAGTTTCTCGGCTCTGCCGCAGTAATTTCTATATTATATTCCATTTTTCGCCTTAATCTGGATTAACCAAAATTATCGTGAAATGTGCCTTCAATGAAATCTATGATATTGATGAAAAAACCTATCTTTTCATGATCTCAGTAATTCATACCTGAACACAACCCATTTTCTCTTGACTGATCAGTGACCGCATCACAGGAATGTCGTAGCAGTATAGTACAAGATGTTTGTCCATTTTGGCACCGCACATATACAGGGTGCGGCAAAAGTTCTGGCGTGGTCTTCTATAAGAAATGAAGCCTTCCATCTCGACAGAATCTGTGCAACTATTTTCTGCAAGTCTTCTTCTATACATTCCATACATTGGCCCCCAAAGACCAATTAGCCTCATCCTGCACCTCCATTTGGCTGGATGCACTGCAAAGACCATCTCCAAGCAGCTCCAGACTCCCTTAATAGCGGTGTACAACAACATCAATAGGTACAAGGCGACAGGAACTATGGAAAACGAGCCTAGGAGTGGGAGAACGAAGAGTGCAACAACAAAGGAGATCGTGAAAATCACTCAAGAGAAAATCCGATGCCACCCTCGTAGGTCCGAGAGAAAAATGGCTCTTGAGGTGGGTATTCCTGCTCGATCTGCTGGAAGGATTGTCACCAGACCTCCGACTTCGCTCTTCAAGATCAGAAAAACTCGCATGCTGACTGAACGTATGAAGAACACTAGGCTCGAAAAATGTAAGTAGCTTTTGAAGCAATTTTCGCAGGCACGGCACACCAACATCCTTTTACTGACGAATGTCTGTTTTCAACAGATAAATTTCTGAACACCCAAAATGATAGGATAATAGCGAGAAGCTCTGCAGAAGCCAGCCAACATGGAGGTATTGCTCAGCGATCTGGACACCTCAAGTCGTTGACGGTTTTCTGAGGCAATCACATCGGACGGCAAGATGTCCCTGATTTTCTTGGAGAAAGGGGTCAAGGTGGGTAGCAAAACCTACTTGTAAAGCGCGTTGTAGAAGGAGATATCCCCTGGGCACAATCCCATTTCGGCAACCGGACTTGGACTTATCAACAGGACTCAGCTCCAGCACACAGGTCCAAGGTGGTACAGGACAGGTGGCAACGCACTTCCCAGACTTCATCTTGTCGAACGACTAGCCCCCAAACAGTCCAGACCTAAAGCCATTGGACTACTTTGTTTAGTCAGTTCTTAAGAGGAAAACCTGCTCTATCCAGCATAGAAGTTTGGATGCTCTACGTGCAACCCTCGTGAAAGCATTGGAGGATTTGGACGAAGGCTATCTCCGTGCCGCCGTCGACGCGTTTCCTACGAGACTTTCGGCCTGTATTCGCGCAAAAGTAGGCTATTTCAAGATCTAAATTGTTTTTGTGATCTCTATAGCTGTTGATAAATGCTGTTAAAGATCAATGTATCGATGGATTTGACCGTTTTTAAGTGTATATTTACCGTTGCCAGAACTTTTGCCGTACCCTGTAGTACGCCTTCGAGTGCCCAATATCAAAGGACTCTACTATCCACTTCTCTTTGTTCAGAAAATAGGCACACGCAGAAAACTGGTCAACGAAAACAGTTTCTTCTGTAAAGCAAGAAATCGGTTCAACAAATTTCCGCCGTCGTTAGCAAGTTCAAAAAAGGTCTCAAGAAGATCAAGGTTTTCCATGCATTTAATGCTCCAGATGTTATTCGATCCATTCAAAACACTCGGCTCTATGAATTGAGCTACGCAAGCATGAATATAAAGTTGAAGACTTCCGAAATTGACATTGGTGATACTGCTCAGTACAAAAGATTTCATACAACAGTTTTTGACCTCCTATACGTCGATGTTATGTGGCTAGAGAACATCTATTTGGTCCGCTCAGTATACGGTCACCCCCTCTCCGCTACTCGATCGCTCTTTGCTACTGTTTTTTCCTGTTTACTGATGTAATGATAAGGGGTCTATGGATGTGTTCGGACCGGGCTATATTTAGTGATGGAACCAGCAATGACATCATAATATTGGGTTGCTCGGAAAGTTTCCGCAGCTTTCGGCTTGCATTTTCGGCACCTGGTTTTTTCTTCTATCACAAAGGTAGGAATTCGGCACAAGCCACGAGAAAGACTTGCGACGTTCAAGTGGACAATGCTCTAGGGAAACGTTCAGTGCGTGAGTGGTTTGCGAAATTCAATTTCATCCTCGAGAACGGCACGTTCAGGGACTCATCCACATATAATCAAGACATATCACCGTCAAACTATATTTATTTAGGTTTTTGCAGGATTCTCTGAATAGCGAATCGTTCAATCCACTCGAGGACTGCAAAAAGCACCTAAGAGTGTTTTTTGATTCTAACTCGAGAACCTTCTCTGGAAGTAGGATTATGAAACATGCGGGAAGATGGCAAACCATTACTGAATTGAATGGAGGACATATTGTTCGATCAATGATTTCTACTTCTTTAAATTTAATCGCAAATATGACTCAAAAATCGGCGGAAACTTTCTAGACAACCGAATATATACTCTTTGTATGGCAATTTGGTGCAACCACTTTTTAACAGTGATGTGAGGAATGCGCTATATAGGCACTTGTCTCTCTTATTTATGAAGCAGTAACTTGTTGTGTCGGTATGTAAGTTTGTTTGTGTGCCTGCCTGTCCGTCCGGGGAACTTTGTGGTTATGATAAAGGTAGTGATATGGGAAACCCAGCCCTATTCTACATTTCTATATAAAGCAATAACGTGGTGGGTGGGTTAATGGAGTAGAGTGAATACTGCGGAGTGGAGTGAGCGAAGTGGAGTGGAGTGAGTACTTTGAACTAAGATTTCGATCTGTACTGCCATCGTGCTATGTATGTCTATACAAAAATCGGAGGTGTTAATGTAGTTGGGAGATCCCCGCTTTTTTCTCAATGTTGAGCGCAGATAAGAGAGTTGACCCATAAATGTGCTCAGGAACGTTCCCCATCCGAAAACATACAGTTTTTGACCTGTGCTCCAGTAGTGAAGTGTTCGAGTGAGCCAATTGAATATTCAGCTCATACCTCAACTTAGCTTTCGCACGAGGTGATCACACCCATCACGGCGCTGCTCTCCTCCTCAGGCTCCGATTAAAAATATATTCCTCACCTCAGAACCACTCAAGCATAGCTAAGGGCGGCCACCCCTTCTTCTACGAACTCAAGCTCTCAATGGAGTAGAAGCAATTTCCCATTCTTTCCGCATTCCGACAGATTTCCTTCTTTCAGCTGCTTAACATTGTCGCCTTTTCCTCAGTCTTCTGAAACTTCTCCTCCGTTCCAGCAATGATCGTACAATCCCATGAACATGAACCTCTTCACAATCATCTGCTACATTAATTCTACTGTGATTTCTCCTAGGCTAGAGACTTTACTTTTTCGGAAGCACTGAGTTGCTTCAGTCGTCTTCTATTAGCTTAAGCTGCCAATGTTGATATCCTCATTTGCTTCATGACCTTAAAGCTGTAAGTATTCTGTGGATTGCGCTGGTCAGGATGTTAACCATTTTCCACTGTATTCATATCCTACTCTACGCGAAAGAAATTTGGAATTATTCCTCCTATAGGTACAGTGACGTTGTTCTAACTTCCTATTAACTTGTTCACGATACGGTGAAGAATCGTCGAGTGTCCAGGCCCAGCAGCATTCTCAGCAACTGCTCCTTTTCGCGTGAGCCAAGCTTTACCAGTTATCATCTAATGTTTTCCGTGTGTTTTTCATATTTAGTTTGTAACCTTGGAAGATCATCACATCTATCATCCGCCGAGTGCTTTCCTAGATCGTTCCTTTTCCACCTCCTCTCATATGAGTGCAATAATTGATGATTCGTTTTACAAACGTCATTCCTCTCTCAGGCTGATCAGCTTTTCTAACGGATCAAAGCGGACCCACAACTCAAAAGCAAAGTTTCGGGCGATGGCCAGTCTTTCAGCTCATCCGCGGCCTTGAGGAATTCTAATTCCTTCCTGACATTTTCGGGCGACGAGTGCTACAGAGCGGAAGGCATCGAGGAGCATCTTCCGTCGCCTGCGTGCAGCTGCGAAGGTTTTTACTTGTGTGCCTTCATTTCTCTAGCATTGCAGTGCAGCATAGTTTGCGTTTGCATTTTCGATATGCACCACGCGACCCCATAGCTATCTCACCACACGCCCCGCGTCCTCGCCTTCAGCCTCCTATCCGTGCGTCGTATATGTGGCGGGTGAAGATTTCTGCGTTCATATAAGGTTGGAATGAATTGTCTATAGAAAGACTGCAGAATTCGGAGGATGCTCTTTGATGCCTTCCGCCTCCTGATGTTACTCATAAATCGCGCACTTACTAACATCGTGAACCGCGCAGTGATTGACTAGGTGCTCACTCTTATAATGGATACGGTGGATACAGTGAGAGGATGTAGGGCAACGTAGAAGGCTATCGACGACATACTGAAATGAACTCTGGATTCACATTCACGCGCAATTGCAGAAGAATCTTAACGTTGAATCGGGAATGACAAGACGGAATCAAGTCAGCAGTTGATCGGTTCATTTTTTTCAAAACCGAACCAGCTGCATTCAGTGAGGATAGTGAACTGGTTAGGAATACTTTTCAAGCAAAAGCAAGATTATAAGAAAACATGGTGATAAGAGATTAACTAACAGCTTAACTACATCTACATAAGCGGAAAAAGGAGAAAGCCCCCTCACAATGCTTGTACTGTCTGAGGCGCAGACATGGGTTGGATCTCCACAATTAGGCTCAAACACAAGAAACAGGGAAAGAAAGCACTTTCATCAGATAATTCATAGTGAAGAAGCTGTAAGACTCATTATTCGCTGCACGCTTCTATCCGAGATTACGAAACAGCTTGGCATTCCAGAAAAAAATAGCATGAAGGAGGACTAGACACAGTAAGCAAATCATCCCTGATTGCGCGCAAGAAGTACTTAGTCAAGGGTACTGAAAAAGAAAAGAATAATTGTTNGGGAGATCACATGGCAGAAGAAAGATGAGGAAAACATGAAGTTGAAGTTTAAGAGGGCTAGCCAGTGAGAAATAGCTTACCGAATCCATGAGAAGAAGTGCTGAACTGGGTCACCTAGTAAATATGTCTTGACGTCATCACAAGAAAAAATTATTTGCACCAAATAGTATAGAGGCTTGTCATGCCGCTCAATATAAAGACTCATAAATCCTTTGTAATGTTAGCGAATTGGCAGAAGCTCAAGCAACTTCAACATTCTTGTCAAAAACAGCTGTGGCATGCTTCCCATGACCGGTGTCTAACTGTAAAAAATGTGACCTGAAATCTTCCAGAACATCCTCAACAAGAATATTCAACAGACTGCTTAGCGCTTGAATGTGATCTAGCTAATTAATGATGCCTACGCTGGCACTATAACGCCAAAGAAAACGGCAAAAACAAGTCGATAATTTTGAAACGATAGCCCTCTTATAAATGGGTCCTTGCAAAATTTTTGAAAGCAGGTTGCAGTTCGATCATTCACTGGCTAACGGAATTATATAATCGTTCGTATAGAGCAGTTCCCAGCAAATTGAAGGAGAGGATTGGCAGAGAAACGGAAAAGAATGAAAGCTGTATCAACGAAAGCTGAGGAAGTATTGAGCTTTTTTCAGTTTAGAGAAGGTATTCTGCGTTATACTGTCACGCAAATCCGTCATGCAATCTATGAATGATCATCTACGAGCAGACGAGATATGGAAGACCGTAAACTGAGCAATTAGGGTTTCTGGAAAATTATCGGGTCATGCACTGGGTTGAGACACCAGCTTTCAGTAGTTTCGTGGATTTTAGAAAGGCGTTATGGTGTCGGATCGAACCGTCTTCGGTAAGGGCGCGAATGGAGAGTGCCGATACCGAATATCCAGCTTTCTCAAGGAAATGAATGAATACTACTGTGTAGAGAATGTACAGGAGTTTTGGGGCATCACTCCCAAATGTACGTTTGGGTGGTTCTCTTGGATTCATTAACTCTCAATTTACCCTTTCATTTATGAAGTCTACAATCGTACATTGATCCGAATCACAAATATTACAATATATAACATTGTGGTTAGGAGCATGGAATTTGAGTTGATGGCATGAACTTATACTTGTCGCTAGAGGGCCTCGAGTTTCTTGAATTTCTATCTGACAACGTCCCCAGCGAGCCCGCCAGGATTTCCGACGTAACAGCCTGATGGCTGGACCGATGTGCGATCGTCTCCACCGCGCTAGCGTGAGCAGCTGCCTACTGAGAGCAGCTTCAACCGAGGGATCTCCCCGACGCGGCCTTCAGCGCTCTTATAATTCGCCGGGAGCGGGTTTTAAATGGCATCATGAACAACGGTTCATGACACTCCCCGCGCAAAAGAAG